GATTTGATTCCATGTACTGAGCACTGACGTGTGCAAAGAGCAAGAAGCAGCTGTGTCCAGTGTGTTTAACCTTTGTTCTTATTTCTCATAGAAAGTGGGGACCCCAGGCTGGCCACTGCCTAAGTATTCCCCCAGGAGCTCTTTGGAAATGCAAGTGCCATAGCGTCAGACATTCCAGGGGTGAGGTCTGAGGGACCTGTGTCATAACAAGCCAGGTGGTCCTGACGTGGAGGAAGTCTGAGGAGCCCCGCCCCTACCCCCATGGCCAGTGGCGTAACTTCGTGACTCTCAGATATGCTGTGTGCGTGATACACACCTCTGAGGAGGTGATGGTGTGGTCTGAACCTGGAGATAGGCAGAAATACATGTTCAGGACTTGCTGGTGCTGAGACAAACAGGCGGGCATCCCCAGCCATCTTATTTAAAAGCTACTTTACCTTGCCTTTTCGTTCACAAAGATATACCACTAAGATGGCAGGCGGCGTTTGAACCCACCCTAAGTTATTAAAAGGTACGGCTCAAGGTTGGAGCGAGCTCCTTCTCTCAGAACAGACCAAGCATGTGCCAGGATGTGAGGAAGGTATGCTGAGGTTCAGATATCTCCTCTCCTTCTCGATCCCTCCGGGGACACCCCTGCCCCAAGACCACTAGGCCCACAGGGCCCCACCTCTGGTACAAAGAAATATGTAAGCCTGGTAAGGGCACCATCAACACAAAATAAATACCAGTGCTAGTCTTGAGGAGACACCTAACAAGAGTTAGTGGTGTTTTCTACTTGAGGTCAGAAAAATGCCTGTGTCCAGCCCCCAACTCTTTGTGTTCTGGCACCCCCAAATGAGGTCTGGGGTTCACATCGAAGTTGATGACTCCTCACAGCCAACTGATCTCCCTGGGTTTCGTGTGTATGCACCTGTGTGTGTGTGTGTGAGAGAGAGAGAGAGAGACGGACGGACAGACAGACAGACACACAGTCATCAGTCTGCTCTCACTGGGGTTGAATACGGGTTACCTTGACTGTGCTCCTCATTCCCCCGTGCTGCAGACTCACACAAGCTGCTTCTGTTTGATTCACACAGAACCGTGAGAAACAGCCCCGTATGTGAGGCCGTGTTTTTCATTCTATTCAGTCTTTGTATATTCAGATTCTCCCAGTTTCAGCTCTTGCTGTTCTGCCAGATTTCCATTGCATTGATGGCTTCTCTGAATTAATAAGTGTTTTGCAATCGCTGAAAAGTTTTTCCCCACCACCGCCCCCCAGCACCGGGTCTTATCCATATTGATTTTTTCTTTCTTTCTCTTTCCTCTCTAGCTATTTCTCAGATGTTTTATTTTGTAAAGTGTTAATAGAATTTTTCTTTCGCCCTGACATTTTATCTATTCAGGAGGTCTCTGTGAGTCCCATTGTGCGAGTGGACTGTAGAGGAAGGAGCTCTATTCTTTACGACAATGGTTGCCCTAAAAAACATACACAGAACCTCCCTGTCGCTCCCCAGGGTGGAGCAAATGTTGGGAGGGTAGCGGCAGAAAATATCCAAACTTTGGAAGGGAAAGAGGGAGCCAATTACACCCTGTTGAGGGGTGGGGGTGGGGGGGCATTGAAAATACTTTTTTTTTTTTAATTAAAAATATTTATTTCCTAAGGGGATCTGAGTTTAGTACCAAAACATGGCCAACACAGAAGGGAGGCTGTTTTCCTTACTGTTAGGCACTTTTAGCTCCAAATAAGCACTTGGCAAACGTCTTAGAAAATGTGGAGATGGGTGTGAAACAGATGTCACGTTTACCTGCGCGACACCCACCCACCCGCACCGCAGGCGTTGGAATTCTTATCGAGGCCCTGGGGTCTGAGTCTGTAGTACCATATGCTCGAGTGTGACTGCTCTGTGTGCAAACAAACCAGTTGATCTTCTGGTGGTTTTGCTTGAGTGGTGCGCCGAGGCAGACGGCTGTGGTGTGTGTGGCCTCCGCAGGTGCCTGGGGAGGACTATCGAGCCTGCCTGGCTGCAGAGGGGTCTGGTGAAGGCACCCCATCTCCACCCTGGTACCCGGCCGAGAGAGAGGAGCTCCCTGCTGGCGAGGCAGTCACCGTGCAAGGCCATTTTCCTCCCAGTCACTGACTTTAGAAATGGGGACCAGAAGGGGAAGGCCCCAGGAGCCCGTTTGTTCAGACTCGGTTGCTTAGCAACCAAGGGGGGCCCTGACTCCTGAAGGGATTTTTAAGCTAGGGCAGTGCCTTCGAGGTTTGCGAGGTTTGTGAGGTTTGTGTCTGGCTTGCCTGCCCCTCTTCCATTCTTACCTTGACATTGCTTTTCCCCCTGTTCTATTTGATAGCATCTAGAAAAATAGACTTGATTTGTCTGGAGGCAGCATTTTAAACCTGGTTTTATTGCTTTGCCCAGTGTCTTCCCCTCCATCAGAGATTGTAGTCTGGAAGGAGTGAAGGATGAATAGCCTATGATTCCCTTTCTCAGCTGGCTTACCACAGGCCCCCAAACTCATTTGTGAGCCTTTGAGCTCCAATGAACAGTGCTCAGTCCCTCCCAACCACACACACACACACACACACACACACACACACACTGAAATTGCTCCAAGCTCAGAGCCCTTTGGCTAGCGGCTTTGTCCAGGACCGCATGGGTTGAGTTGTAGTTTTACTGCCAATCTTGGGCACAAAATGAATGAAGAGACCAGGCTGCTCACCTGGCCAAACTGAGTACCCTCCCCAGGTGAGTAGCTGATCAGCTAGGACAATACCTGCACTATAGATGGGTATTTTGGTATTTTGTCGAAGAATAAAGAATTGGATCGTAAGTACAAGAAATGGAATTCAAAGCCAAATCTGGTTCAGTGAGGGTGACTTTCTTGAGATCTGCATGGAAATTGAGTGTGGATCCTGAAATCTTATCGCTAGAAATATCCAGAAGGGTTGCAGGATGCCTAGAAAGACTGAGGGAGGAAGAGGAAGAGAGACAGCGGATAGCCTTGGTGCTTTCTACTCTTTGTTTGTAAAGGTCCTAGCATGAATGTATTAGTCTGCTGGGGCAGCCATAACCAAGTACTACAGACTGGATGGTCAAACGACAAAAGTTTATTTGCTCACTCTTGTGGACGCTGGAAGTCCAAGATCGGCAGGGTTGGTTTCTTCTGAACCCTCTCTCCTTGGTTTGCAGACAGCCGCCTTCTCCCTGTGTGCCCTCACTGGTCTTCTCTCTGTACCTGACCAGATCCAGATTCCCTCTGTGTATGAGGACCCCAGCCAGTACTGGATCAGGGCCCACTCTAATGACCTCATTTTAACTCAGTAACCTCTTTAAAGATCCTATCTCCAAATACAATCACATTCTCAGATACTGGGGGTTAAGATTCCAACATCCAAGTTTGGAGGGGGGCACAGTTCAGCCCATAGCAATCAAGGCATTAAATTTCCATTGTGTATAACTGGAAAAAGTTTAAATATCCACAGAAGGATAACTGAGTAAGCAATGGTTTCTCACTCCATGAAATATTATGCTGCCGTCAAGATAGTATTCCAATAGCTCACACCCATTAGGATAACTACTATAAAAAACCCCCCAGAAAATAACAGGTGTTGGCCAGGATGTGGAAAAATTGGAACCTTTGCGCACTCTTGGTGGGAATGTAAAATGGTACAGCCACTGTGGAAAACAGGATGTCAGTTCCTCCAAAAATTAAAAGTAAAGTTACCATATGATCTAGCAATTTCATTTCTGGGTGTATACACAAAAAAATTGAAAACAGGGACACAAGGAGATATGTGTACATTCATGTTTATTCACAATAGCTAAAACCGAGTATCCGTCGATGGATCACTGAATAAGCGAAATGTAGTATATACGTGCAGTGGATTATGGATGAGTCTTGAGGACATTATGATAAGTGGAATAAGCCAGTCACAAAAAGACCAATACTGTGTGAGTGTATTTATATGAAATACCATAGTCCCCCCTTATTCATGGCTTCAGTTACCCGCGGTCATCTGCGGGTCCTAATGCAAGTGATCCTCCTTCTGATGGATTATCAGATGATCCATAGCAGCCGAAGGCAATGTCACTTGCCTACGTCATTCACCTCATTTCCTCTCATCATGTAGGGATCTTATCATCTCTCTTTGTCAGTAACTTTACAATGAGATATTTTGAGAGAGAAAGACCACATTCACATAACTTGTATTGTAGTTTATTGTTGTAATTGTTCTATTTTATTATTCGTTACTATTGCTAAATCTTCTACCGTGCCTAATGTATAAATTAAACTTTATCATAGGTATGTATGTCCAAGAAGAAACATGGTATATATTGGGTTGAGTACTATCCGAAGTTTCAGGCAACCACTGGGGGTCTTGGAATGTCTGCCCTGGAGATGGGGGGACCTCAGTCACAGTCATAGAGACAGCCGATAGGATGGTGGTTGCCAGGGGCTGGAGGACTAAGGGGATGGGTGGGGTTATTATTTGATGGGGTAGAGTTTCAGTTTTACAAGATGAAAAGAGTTCCAGACATGGGTGGGTGGGGATGGTAGTTCAACATTACAAATGTACTCAGTACCGCTGAACTCTACACTTAAGAATGGTGAAGATGGAAATTTTTATGTTAATGTGTATTTTACCATAATAAAAAAAATTGGGAAGAAAACCAGATAATATTCACGACATAGTCATCTGGGAATTATTTGCAATATTGTAATATTATATTAGAAAAAGAACAAGGGGAAAATTCCATTACAGTATGATTTAAACTGTATTAAAATAGGCATACGGTGTATGTTTCCTAAAGGGAAATACATCAGATGTTAACTGTGGTTGTTCTGGGCGGGAGGATGGAAAGACAGTGATTTTTCTTTCTAATTTTTTGTGTTTTCAAATAAATTTTAATGAGCACCTATGACTTTGATAGTGGAAACCACCCTCCCCCGGCAGCATATAGCATTTCGTATGTTTTGTCAAAATTCCTAAAGCAGACTCCCTTCTGTTTGTTTTGCAGGTGGAGGACGCAATGCTGATGTTTGATAAGACGACTAACAGGCACAGAGGTACGATCCCCAACCGAAGAAGTTTGCCCCTTCTGTTAGTTGCCCAGCTGTTGAACATCTGTATTCATGAAGGCCACCACAGCACGAAGGGTCCAGATCCTGGACAGTTAAAAATCAGCCACACCCAACCCGTGTTCCGACATCCCTTTCTAACCCGGGCTTTCTTAGTCTTTGCTAGACCCGAGCACTAAGGAATCCAAGTGGAAATTATTCATAGCAATTACTCGGCTGAGCTTTCAATTTGCATTGAAGGAGGTGGTTTGCAAGTGTACCGTCAGTCTGACGAGTCAGAAAAGAAATAAAATACCCTCGTTGGAGGTTTATTCGACGTGTACGGGGATTGCAGACATGGCAGCACCCATTTGCACGTCTGGAATGTTGAGAGGGCTCCGTACTTACTCATTTTTTCCCCTGTGTTCTTTCTGTCCTATCCGTGTTTTAGAAAATAGGTCTCAACTTGGGGGTCTGTGAACCCCTGAAATGACACAAACTGTTTTATGTTTGCGTTTTCTTGGGAGACGTTCCTAGCTTTGAACAGATTGTCAGAGGGGTTTCTGACCTCCATACCTCCCCTCCCCAAGAAAGGAACACGTTGAAATTGTTGCTTTAAGCAGAAAATTGGACAAATCTAGAAAATCCTCCCAGAGGAAGTAGAGTCCAAGGTTATGGCTTGGCGTTCCATCTCCTGTTCTCCGGAAGCTCCTGGTTTCTGGGGCTCCTATGAACAGGGCGTTAAGGAGCTGCGATTCAGAAGGGAGGGGGCAGGAAGCAGCATTCTTGAGAGGAGCCAGAGGGAGCGGTGTTTCCTTGCCACTTGGATTGCATTTAGATGTTTCTTGTGGTGTTTACATTCTTGCTGTCACCTGTGATTAGAAGCACTGACTGTATGCCTCTCCTGTTGGGAGCAGGCAGGCTGAGTGAAAGGGAGGACGAGGGTCGGGGGGTGGGGGGGGGCTGGGGAGGGGCTGTCCTGAGTGTGCCTGGCAGTCCGGCTTCCTGGGCGTCCACCCACAGCATCCTCAGAGGGGAGGGTGGAAAACTGGGGCATCGATGTTGGGATATGTTGGGATATGTTGGGAAGGGATGGGGAGGGGTGGAGGGTGAGGAGTAGGGGAAGGAGAGGGAAGAAAAGAAGAGCTTACGGGTGTGGAATGATTGCTTTGTCCTCTGCGTTGCTCAGCATCCTGAGAGAGCGGGAGGGGAACAGGGTGCGGAGAGGGGCAATTCGTGATTATTCTCTGCCATCATCCTTACAGGGTGTGTGTGGGGGGCGGTGTCTGAGCACTGCTTTCCTATGCATCATCTGATCTGACCTTCACAGCAGCCCTGTGACTTTGGGAGAATCACTTAACTTGTTTATCTTGTTGATCTCAGTTTATTCATCTGTGAAATGGGGACAAAGGAGTACTTCCCTATAGGGTTATTTGGAGAGTCTAGTGCCGCACATATCAGTGGTGCCTAGTTTAGCTCTTATCATTACTGTCTTCACTGTCATCATCTGAGGTGACCGAAGCTCAGAAGGGGTATGGGACACACCCCAGGTCAGAGCAGGGGCTCATCCCTAGGACTGCTGATTTCAAATTCTGCTCCTTCTCTGTGGTCTCCACGTGGGGACGGGCTTGTTAAGAAGAGCGTTCTCATCCATTTGTTTTCAGGGTGGGCGAGGCCCAGCTGAGTGTGGCATTGGTGTTCCGTGCTAGAATTCATGCTCCTGGAAGAGTCCTGAGTGGCTTCTAGGCAGTGTAGTCTTATCACTCTTTTTTTGAATATCCACCAATAAAGGGATTTCTGATCTGCTCCAGATCAGGCCCTGTTTTGGAGGGGATGAAAAATCATCTCGTGCAGCCCTCACAGCCGTGCCTAGAAGGAGGCATGCCATCTGGGGGGCCTGAGAGGGCCGGTGACTTTCCGTGTCACATTATTCAACTAGTAACAGACACAGGCAGGTTCACACTGAGGGTGTTGGGCCCTCCGGGCATAGCCGCAGAGGAGGGGGCCAGGGAAGGTTCTCCCTTATTTCTAACCCAAAGGCTTCCTGCTGTGGGTGGTGCCTCTTCCCTTTCTCCAGGGCGCTGGGTGTGGTGATGGGGTGAGGTCCCTCTGTGACTCCTGTCGTGAGATGGAGGGAGGTCCCTTTTACGGCCCTGTGCTCAGAGTGGCTCCAAGGATGGCACTGCTCGCTCGCCCGAGTCAGGACTTCTGGGGGGCGCTGGCAGGAAGGAGGCTGGGCATAGCCCCGGTGCATGCTCCGTCCTGCCCCCAGTCAAGGCAGGGCCTGCCCAGGCACCCTCCTGCCCTGCCAGAGGGTAAGATTCCTGTCGCGGATGTAGGACTTGAATAATTCGTGGAGCCCTGCAGGCCGCCCACCCGCCGAGCTGGCCTGAGTGGGTGTAGCCCGGGGGTGGGGGTGGGGAGAAGGCAGGAGGGAAAGTGTGCCAGGAAGTTTCAACAAGGAGGCCCTGACATCCTCCTTCCCCTTTCCTCCTGTACAGAAACCTGCTCCCCGGCGTTCTTTCTGTGTAGGTGGGAGCTTTGCCCCCCCCCCGCCCCATTTTCCAGCCCCTCTAAATAGCTGAGAGTTTCTCTTTGAACTGGGTGCTAATGCTGGGGTAATGCTTAAGTGGTTCAGAGCATTTAGGAGGGGAAAGAATTTTAAAAAAAAAAAAAAAAGGACCATGTCACCACAGAAGCACGAATCCTCCATATGGAACAGTGGGGCCCCCATCCCTGGCCTGATGGAATGTGCATTTGGAATCAGGTGATAAGCACAAGAAAAGAAAATCCTCCCGGCAGCCACCTTGCCCCAACCTTACCTTCACCTCCTCAAGCTTCCTGTTTCCCATTATCTTATCAAGAAGAAAGTGCTGCAGTAGCAGAAGTTAAAGACACCTCTCAGGCTGGCAGAGCCACCAGCTTTCTTCTTAAAGAGGTGCACACCGTTAACCCCGTGTGCCGCCACAGTGCTTGCCCAGCACCCACGCCCCCAACTCCCAGCACAACCCAGTCAAGCAGCCTAGCCCCAGGCCTTATGAAAACCACCTGGGTGCCCTTGGAGCTGGGACAGCCATCATCCGGGAACGCTGAACGGTTGGGCCTGGGATTCGGGGAGTCGTGTCCGCGGGGCTCACGGGACCACTCCGACTTCTCTAGCCACCGTGAGCCAGAGGTCAGGGCTGAGCATCCATTCCTCGCCCCACAGTGGCTATGCCCTGCCCCTGCCCACCCCCCGCCCCCGTTAGTCCCGTAGGGACAGCGTGGCCCTCAGTTACATCTGTTCACAGAAACGACAGCCTGTATTTCTTTCCCTCTTACGTCTGTACTTGGACCTCACTCCCGCCCTGGGAAAGAATCCAGGGGAACAGGAGACAATGAGCCCTCCCAGGATGTACGTCCTCCCCCGTGGAAGCCAGAAGAAGGTCGTTCAGCATGGGACCCACACAGAGGTGTGGAGTCTTCCCCCACTCTCCGCTTCGAGCAGACCTCTAAGCTCCCACTGCCCCCTTGATACCTGACTGGGGCACATTTCCTAACCTCTCTGACACCTCAGGTTCGTCCTCTGCAAAATGGGGGAGCTGGGGTTGATGAGCTCCAGGACCTGAAGTATGTTTCTGCCTTTTAGCCTTTCAACTGAGGGAGCATCCAAGATTAAGTCCTTTTTCATTTTTATTTTTTTAGCTAGGAGAGGGAGGTGAGGGGTTGTCTTTGGGTCCCCTGAGATGAAGATGAGCACGCAGGGGTGCCCTCAGGGGGCAGCGAGCAGAGGGAGAAGCTGATCTGTGAGGCGCTGGGAATTCTGAAGCTAGGGCTGGCCCCAGCGGGGTGAAAGGGCTGACCTTACACCTGATGTTGATCCGTCACAGGATGCGGCCCATCCTGGGAAGCACATGTGACCTTGGGCTTGCCCTGAGGACATCCTGGAGGACACAGACAGCTGGGGGCCATCTTCCAAGAGCACTCCCAGCAGATCCTGAAGGGGGGGATCCGGGGATCTGTGGTTGGTACAGTGGGTTCTGTGTTACCCAGGCCATGTTAACATTCTTGGTAGAAACAGCCGGTGCTTCCCGAACAATTCTACACCCCGTGCTTAGCACAGCGCCTACACATACTGTTGCATCTTTATGAAGGTCAGAGGTGAACCCAGCTGTCCAGAATCCCTAGTTGGATGTAAACCCAGCCTGTTTGACCCAGAGCTCTTGCTCTCAGCTGCTCTGCAAGCACACGGCAAGGCAGTGGTTTACAGCAGGGGATTTGGTGATTTTAACTCTTGAGCACCTCCTTGTTATTGGTGCTTCTCCACCTACCCTTCTTGCTGGACTGTGATGCACCTCCATTTCAGATGGAGAAACCGAGGCATGTAGAGTTTTGGATGGCCACTTAGCAGGTTCCTGCAGCCAGGTAGGAGCTGAGTGGCTGATAAAAGCTGGGGCCTTCCATGAGATTCTTTGTGCCCAAGGCGAGAGAAAGAAGGTGGCTTTCCAATTTTTTCAGAGTCATTTCATTTGCTCTCTAAAAGCTGTTAGAGGTGGTCTGAAAAATATTGGGCTGATCATCAAAGGATTTAATCACTAGGGGAAAGTTTGTTGCTTTATCCTTGCAAAACTCAGATAAGATCTTAAATTCAGCATTAGGTATTGATCCCAGAGTGGGGCTGGTGAGGAGGGGCTGGAGGGAAGACACTACAAAGTGCTGTCCTTTCCAGTTCACCCTTTGGGAGGCATAGGGCTGAGGGGTGAGCTAGAGAGAGGGAGGGAGGGTGGCATGGTTTGGATCTGTCCCCGCATCAGCCCTGCTTGAGAAAGTGGAGGAACGTGGGGATGGGGGTTGCTGAAATATATCTCATGTTCACCTCCTCGTCGGGGAAGGGAGCCCCCACCGCGAGTGTCATTCCAGGGGAGGCTCAGCTGTCGCTCTCTCTGACCTCAGGCCTCTAGATTCATGAGCCTCGCGCTGCCGGTCCCTCCACGTCTGGCCCATCAGGGGAGAGCTGGGTGGCTGGGTGC